GAGCCCTCTCTGTCAGCATATAAGCCAAGTCGCCCCAGTAATGCCCCAGCAGCTGAGCATCGCCTAAGAGCACACCTAGGGGCCATGCGCATGCTGGGAAAGGAGTAGCAGCTCCAGGCGATGATGTCACGAGTCACGACTCATTAGCCGCGACTCATCCTTGCTTTCGCATGGCCAGTCAGTGCGCTGCCAAGGATATATATATATATTTGCTTGGACTGCATGTGAGTTGTTTTTTCTAAACTAAAACCTCAGTATTCAGGTTTTATTGCAGTGTTGGCACTTTGCAATAAATAAGTGTGTTTTGGATTGCAGTTTGGGCACTCGGTCTCTAAAAGGTACGCCATCACTGGGTTAGACTGAGAGAGTGACTGGCCTAAAGCCACCCAGTTAGCTCTATGGCTAAGTGGGGACTAGAACCTGGATCTCCCAAATCCTCAGTCCAACATTCTAGTTCCTCAAGCAGCATGAAATAAAATTGTAAGGAAAATATATAATCATATAGAGGCAATAAGATCAAGAATGATATGGAGACTAGTGAGATATTTGCAAATTATAGCAAGTGCATGTGGGTTCCCTTAAATAGCTCCATGCAGTAGTTGTTAGGCTGTTTACTTACAGCACTTGGGATTTTCAAAAATCTACAAGCCTATCTTTTGAAGCAGATCTCTCTATGACAGTAAAAATATCTAAATAACATCGTGCAACTATCAATGTGAAGAACTTATCACCTAACTGTGATGTAGTATGTTTTGGAGCAGTTTCCATGTGGCAGGTAGAGAAAAGATCAATCTCGGAGAAAAGAAAGCCTGGTAACTTAATATTCCAAAGAAATTGTTGATGTGGAACAAATAAATCTCAGGCGCACCGTGCTGGTGTTGCATTTAAGTATGCCCTGATTTTAAAAAATCCATGTTTCCATGCTAAATGTTGCATTATTTCTGAATATGTGAATGGCTGCTGTGAGTAATTCTCACTGGACTTCCTGCACTTTATTCCTCTCTGACCTCACTGTTTACACATTGACATGTATTTATATCCATGACTGAATGTAATACTTGATACATCTGGAGAGGTAGCGTGTAGTCCATGAAACCTTATATTTTGTTAGCCTTTAAGATGCCATATGGCTCTCTGTTTTTGTTGGAGCAGGCTAACATAATTATTCCTGTGTTAAACATATGACACTTTCTTAAATTTTGTTACCCATTTGCTATGATGTTCCACCACTTAACACATTCGGTTATAAAACATAATCTGTACGTCACTCATTTTGGACAGCGCAGTTACATTTCCAACCTCTTCCATTCCCAAAAATAACCAAAGCTGCTTAAAGAGAGGTATCACATGTCCTTTTTGTATTCTTCAATGTGAATTGTTATTGCATAGAAGATCTGGCTGCTTTCATTACTTGCCAATACATTTGCTTCATCATGTTTTGGTTGGCAACAGAAGGTAGACTGGATTTCTGACACCTTCTTCCTTTACACTACTGAATGAAAGAGAGGAAAGGCAGTCCTGTCCAGAAATTTGGCTGGCTTGTCTGAGAAGCACATTTTCAAAATACAGTAGAAAACAGTGTTAACAACTCTAGAGTTCCCTTTTTTTCTTCTCTTCATCATGGAGCAGCCAATAAAGCATAAGCATTGCAAAGTGTCCTCTCATGAAGACTGCAATGCCTGGTGTCTCTTGGTCTACTTTTTCATTAGTTTTCTTTTATTCCAAGCCCTTCAGACTTTTCTTGTATTAGGCCTAGCTTGTTAGTAAACAACAAGCTTGGAGTTTCTGGTTCAGATGCAATGCTAAACAAATCACAAACGGAGAATTCTTGGCTTGTTTAGTTACTCCTGCTGGCAGGAATAACTGCCCTATTGTGTATTGCATTACGATCGGTTAGTGGTGACTGCTTAACTTGCACAAAGTTTTAGTAGAAAGCATTCTTTGTTGTCTAGCTGTTCTCTAGTATCCAGAATGGGTTATCCTTTCTGATGTAGAATGAAACTGTACTCTTTGGGTGCATGCACAATAGTTTTCCAGCTTGTAACAAAGGCAGTGCAAGATCAATTATTGCCTTGTATCCAGCTTGTGGTTTTCCAGCGGGCATTGCATTGGCCACTGTATGAACAAAATGCTGGACTAGCTGGACCCATTCTCTGATCCAGCAGGGCTCTTATGTTCACATATTTAGTTTGTGCACATCTAAAATCATGGTTTCTTCTCCCACATAGAGAAAGCCGTGAATTAGATAGATGGGAAGGTTATATTCTGTTAGGAAGTATATGCCAGCATCCTCTCACTGTGTGCCACAAGTCTCATTTCCCTAGATCTGAATCCTGGACATAGCCAGTCAACAATGTCATATTCAAGAATACATGCTGCAGTGGTTGAGGAATAAGTACACGAGTGGTACATTTTCTGGAAGCAGTAATTTTGGTGGAGGGTGTGTGGTACAATTCACTGACTACCTGTACTCTGAGCCTTTCTTAACTCTGCAATTCTTTCTTCTATGCCCTAATAATTATATCTATACCAAGTCCCTTTTCCCCTCCAACCATTAGGCAAAATGAAGCAGCTACTAAGACAACTAATATTGGGTTTTATGAAAGAGCAGCTAATGGTTAAATATTTGATTTATTATCAGTATATATTCTAATGCTAGACAGAAGGAAAGAGCTTGTAGGCTTTTCTGTCAGAAGTGCCAAAATAACTTGGCTACTCTTAGATACTAAGCAGTGGAACTTGGGGAGTTAGGCAATGTTTCCTGCTCTGCCTCTGGCAGCAAAAATATCACACCAGTACTGCCATATAACATGTGGCAGGTGGGGCAGAAAGCCTGAGAAAACAAGTTCAGGGCCCCCTGGCTGCAGAAGTACGTGGCCTAGATCTAAATTGGAGACTATGCTCTATTATTTTAAAGGGCATCTTGTTACAAATTCAGACAAACCAGCTGATACATGAATTTTGCACCATCATGTATTGTATATTATCCTGACACCCTTTCCAGACACCTGGATTTCCAAGTCCAAAAGTTTAGTTCCGGAAGGTGCAACATGAAAAGCTGCCAGAAATGTTGATATGACTTGGAAACACACATATTTTATGGTGATTCAATCTTGATTAAACAGTGTTCCCTGTAACAAGAAAAACACAAATTGTCTGCTTTATTGCCATGCCACCACCCAGCTGACATATGCATGAAAGATCCTTTGAACTGGCTAATCAAAAAACCTGACAGTGGAACATAGCTAACCCTAAAGCATCCTCATCTTTCAGACATGTCAGCCAGGTCACTACCTGAGTTCCCTTGATAACCTATTAGCACTCTAGTAACTGTAGTACTTGTACCTTAGCACTTAGCATTAAGATAGATGCTAATCAAGGGGCAAGGAACCTCCTTGAGCTTTCTATTCATTCCACAGAACCAAAATATTTCCCCCTTTGATTTGACCCATCAGGGGCACATCCTGTACTATTAAGTTTTTTTTTTTTAAATACTGTAATTGCCTTAAGAGTTAGAATAGCCCATATGAATCCTTTGTGTTTGGGCAGCTCTCATGCTAGCATCTTTCTGCTAATGTGTATTAAGTGTCTAGGAAAAAGGACATGTGGCAGTACCCTTGATCTGCATGTGAATGAATTCCAGGTTCTTTTAAAGACTCCTCACATGTTGATATAATGAAATTATTGGGTCTCGGTCTCTCTCTCTGTCTCTCTCTCTCTCTCTCTCTCTCTCTCTCTCTCTCTCTCTCTCTCTCTCATGCTTATAATGACTTCGATAATAAACAACTAAAGTAAAACACACACATTAGTTGCATGCCCTTAGCTTATGGTAACTGATGTGGATCAGCCTTCTTACTCACAAATAGCTATCATGAGCAAGCCTTTACAAATTGCATTGAACTCCCTGGGTTTGTACATGTAGAAACCACTTTTCTGTCCTATAACCTTCTGATGGTGATATCTGACAAGAAAGGTTACTTCTTTTGCCAGGCATACCAGCAGAAGGAAGAGAGAGAAGTGTGGCATTAATAACATTGACCTTGAAAGAGAAATGAAAAGCTGGTAGTGCCCGTACTTCTTATTTTATGTAGCCCATGCAGAGAGTAGATGTAAGCTCTCAAGGACTTGCTGGTGTTCAAGTAGAAAAGGAACGTGAAATTCTTAACATCTATTGCTTGAAAATAGTAACATGTGTGTTGTAGTTTCTAAAGTGAGATTTTAAGTTCTAAAGGATAGGAATAGATTTTGTTTAAATAATTAATACAGTTCTCATCCAGGATTTTAGAGTCTCCAGTGGTGACCTCTTAAAGTGCTTTTTCAAGTTACACTGCTCTTCTGTCATGTTTGTGCAGTTCCAGTGGCAGTTAAGAGAAGAGTTCTGAAAATACCTGTCTGTTTTATCCAATCTCATGCTGCGTCATTTTACAGGACTTGTATCCATTACAGGTGTGATTAGCATGAATCTTTTTTCAAATTGTAAAAATGCCGTATTGTCCAAAATTAAAATGTCTGGCCTGCTAGAAAAGTGAAAATCTTAAGACACAGTTGTATCACTGATTGTTTGCACTTCTAGATCTGCATCTTTCTGTCCTTTTCTACCCCATATTCATATGTGTGCACATTTGGCTTGTGCCTGTCCTCTTGCTTAAGAAACCTGCTTCAAGCTAGAACTCAAGGAGAGTCTAGCAGAAGGCAATCTTAAGATCAAAGGACAATGAAGTGTATGACATAATGAACATGTGCTACTGCATAACTCGTGCTACATTCCATAGACAGAGTATCACACTTGTCATTTAATATGCACTTTTGTGAGATTTGTAAAAGATATAGAAAGTGACATCATCTGTAATTTTTTTCCTGAGGATGACATGAAAATATTTTGCTAATTCCTGGTAGAAAAGGGAGAGATTTTATCTCCATAAAGGGAGTATAACATTTATAAAACATGTGCTTTATAATATCTAAATTTTCTAATATTCCATTCTCTTCTCTGTTTACAGTTACCCTTCCTGGATTATTTTCTGCTTTCTAGAGATTCGCATTACTACCTTAAACCATGGACATCATTGGATTTCTGAAGTCTCAATTCATTTGCCACCTCCTTATCAGTTATATATTTATTGTGTCGGGACTGATTATCAACTTCATTCAACTCTTCACACTAATTCTCTGGCCATTCAACAAGCAACTCTTCAGGAAGGTCAATTGCAAGTTGGCTTACAGCATTTCAAGCCGTAAGATGCTTTTTTTCTATTTTAATGAAGTTTTGTATTAGGGAAGAGGGTGGATTTCAAATCTTTACAGAATTCCATGTTTTTATTAAATCTTGATTAAAATATTTTGACACTCACAGAAAGAAAATATACCATATATCATGTTTTACATACTCAATTGAAACTGCTTTCTTTCATTAGACACATGATTTTTATACTACAGTAAGTTCATAAGAATGTAAGAACCACCATGTTGGATCAGAGCATTATGCAGTGACCCTGGGTGCAATTTCCCATGTTCAGCACTGGTCTGAGAAGAATGGCTAAAGTGCAGTTACACTTAAATGCTTAAAAAAGAATGAGAGATTTAGCAGAGGGTTTCAAACCATTCTCTGGTGAAACCCGACAGTTTTAGAAATTTAACAGGGTATCCTTAATATGGTAAGCAATGACGGACAAGCTCTACTGAAAAACATGGTGTCTACTGATACTGACTGTACTTGGCAAGGCAGAACATTCTACGATGTGATAATGATTTGCAACAGCTAAAGGCTGCCTCCAGTGTATTTAGCTGTTACCCTGTGTGAACTGAAACTTTGCCTTAAAATGAACAGGATCAACCTCTTGAGTGACTCTGGAGGACACATGGGCAGACAACAAGATTTGGAAATTGTTCCATTTATTGCATTAATCAGTGTGTTTGTCTTTCAAGAATAAGGATATGATACTTTGAATGCACCAGTTACAGAATGAATGACATAGATGTAGTCAGCATTTCCTGCCCACTAATCCCTTCTGCTGGTAGCTTCAGCTTTTTCCTAAGGTGGGCAAAGTACTGCTTCCTGTCATTTTAATTCACAGTTCTGCTTAGGTCCAAAGTATGTCCCTTTCCCACAGCAAGAAGGATCAGGGGTTAAAGTTTAGCATGCTCAGATATTATAATAAATTGTTTAGTTTTGCAGTGGGGACCCTTGTTTAGTTAGGTTATCACCCCACAAAGCAGCCACACAATGAAGGTGGAAAAAAGTGAAACCCATGTCAAAATGCCTTTCAGACTTATGAAGATTAATCATCATTACTATGGAGATGAAAGTAGTGATGAGTAACTTCTAAAAATCAGAGGGTAATCACTTAGCTGATCCTGCAAAGGTCAGTGCATACAGAAACGTTTATAAAGCCAGGGTTGGCTTCAGGTTCTTGGAGGGCTCTTATGCAAGACACCCTCAATGGGCTGTGTTTCTCAGTGATCCAGTAATAAGAAGTAGTTACCAAATAGCTTCTATTGCTTCTCCTCATGTTTCCCATTGCTACCTCATGATAGCAGAGAGCCAGTTGGCAGTGGCATCTTACTTCTGCTGCTGTCTTGGCCAGAGCAAGAGGCAGGTGGAAAAGCAGGTTGCAGTGGTGAAGGGCAACTCCAAGGGTCTCTTACCAGTGGGCCCTTGGTGAGATGTGGGCTTTCAGCAGGTACTCAACCATCCCTACCCTTGATGGTGGTCCTGCAATAAGCAATTACATTATCGGAACCTTTTTTACCTAAATAGGCCAGCATGGCAATTTTTTATTTACAGAGGTTAGAATGCCCCCTTTTACCTTCAGTTTCACTTTTCTTTGCTGCATGCCTGAAGGCTCATTTGTGGCTTCCAGTTACAGCAGAGGTAGCTTTTTGCTGTTTTCTCTTCATTTGCAGCAGCTGATCACTTTCATCAGTGGCTTTCCTGCTTTGCCTTCTTTGCTTCAAAAATGGGTTGCTTGCTGTGATCTAAACTATTGGAAGAGATTTTTCTGATGGGGAATCAGGAGACCCGCCACGCATCAGCTGTAAAGTGTGGTGGGGAGGTTAATGAAAGAGTAATCAACCAATTAGCTGTTGTGAAGGAACAGCCGAAGGGCAATGTGATTGGTTAGTTGCAGTGGTGTACCACAGAGGTGCTGACTGGTGAAGGAGCAACCTGCACCTGAGCTGGGAGGTTTTGTACCCCTGAATAGAGCAAGGTACTTCAGGTGAGAAAATTATCCATCCCAATCATCAGAACCATGAATGGTTAAAATTTGCCTGCCTGCTCTCTGGGTGACTGGCTGATGATGTCTTGCTTGGAGAATGCAGAGGGGGATGGGAAGAACAGGCCCCAAAGACCTGCAGCCGAGTCTGGTGCACAGTGTCACTGCTTGACTCATTTGGGTGTGTGTGGATGGAGCTTGAGCAGTGCCTAGTGCCAAAACAGGCCCTTCTGGAAAAATAGTTATGATTGCTGCAATGCCCTATTTTTTGCCTCTACCACTGAGGTGGAGGCTTTTTCCTTCTTCTTCCTCTCAAACTACTATTGGGTCTTAGCAATTCCACTACAGGTCTGATGCTCATATATTGTGTGCAATTATAAGAGGCCGGATCATCTTCTTTAATTTGGAGCTTGAAGGTACATGAAATATGTAGGAGGAGATGCAGTGGTAGCCACACTTAAAGAGAAAATTGTTGTAGCTTAGTTTGAAATTTGGAAAGGGCAGATGATACTTTAAGTAGCTTTAAGTTTCAAGATCAGCATCTTTATTTTGAGCGATCATGCCTTTTCATTTTCCAAAGCTGGGAGGAACCCAAGCACTTGCATGCTTCTTGCTTTTTTTGTGCATGTGCTGTTCTAAAGTGGTTTTAAAATAAGAAACAAATGTAAGCTGATAGGTTATACAACAAGGGCTTTTCAGACATGTCTTTTCTATGTATGCTTCAGACATAATTGTATTAGAAAAATTAAATGTTGAACTTTTGCCTGAATTTGAGGGGTGTGTATGTTGGATCTTAAAGACACACTGACTTCCTTTTTAGTGTCACAACTGGATTTGCCATATAATGCCATTCTGTGAGGCAGTCATGGATTTAAAGGAAGTATTTCTCAACAATCTTCCCCTGTGCTCTTCCCACAGAAAATCAGGCTGTGGCACAAAGAAGAAAATATTATCAGAGTATCTGCTTTTTTCCTCTTTAAATCCAACTTTTTAGTTGCACTAACTTCTCATCTTGCATGCTGCCCAGAGAAGCAAAGTAATATGTTGGTGTATTGCTGAATTTCTAGATACCTGTGCATATTATCCAGGAGTCATTATTAATGAGGCAAAATACAAATGAAGAGAGATTGCTAGTTGGAATGGCTTTTATGCTAAAACTGGACCTATTTACTGCTGTACTTCAAATTCTTCTTCTTTTAAATGAAAAGAGATTTGTTCATAATATATTGCCAGGTAGAAAAGAAACTTTAAAAAGACTGTTTTTATAAAACGTACTTATAACATCTCATTTGCACATTTATTTAAATATAATTTAATCGGGCAACAGTCCTATACCTACTGACCTGGGAGTAAGCTCCATTTAACTCAGTGAGACTTATTTCTGAGAAGACATATATGTAATTGTGCTCTCAGTTTGCATCTTAAGCTTTTAACCTGTGACCATCTTTCAGACATATTAGATGCATTTGCACAGGCTGATAAGTTAGGATCCCTGAGAATGCTGGCTTATCATGAAGGAATTACCTGCTGCTACAGGTATCTCATTCATTCCCTTGTTGCTCCCCCTGGCTATCATCACTGCTGAACTAAGGGAAATAGAAAGTCTAGTGTGTCATTCAAACTGGGGTCCGAATTTGTCTTTCCAAAACCAGCCAGGATTGGTAAATCAGGAACCAAATCTTGTTTTGCAGTTCTGGCATTTAAAGAGAACAACAAGCCAAGACCCCCAAGCTAACAACAGTTTTTGGTTAGTTTAGCAGTCGTACTAGCTAGGAGCATTTACCAACATGTAGTTAATTCACAAGACAGCCAGTAGTTTTTTCAGGAATCCTGGTTGATCATTCTATGTGAACATGCCTTTGAATTACTCTGCATTTTCTATATAGAAAAATGGATCAGAGGAAAAACGGCCAAGCACCATAAATATTGATAGTTTCATTTCATTTTCTGGAAAAGCAGTGCTCTTCCAAGTAACTGCCAGCTTTCCTACCCCCAAATTCTAGTCTCCTAGATTTCAGGCAAGTAATGTTGCTTACTGTCCTTGCATATGACAAACAGCAGTCCTGAACTCTGTACTGGGCTGCAGGAGTAAGGCTTGGGATAATGCTCCAATATGCTTAAAATAGACAATATAAAATCTCTATTTTTAGTTGCAAACAACTGTTATTTTTGTCTATACTAACATTCTTCATTAGAAAGTAAATGAATATATATTGATGATATAAGTTACCTTGATTTAAAAAAAAAATCAATTCTGATAAATTACTGGATGCAGTGGTGGTGGTGGTACAAGTAATGGAGCATAATGCTGCAAATCATGCCTAAAAATGGGCAGTTCAGGCCTAAACTGAAAGTTTGGGAGGAGCTACTGTGAAACGGCTAACTTGCAAAAACAGTTCATCTCATTTCAGTGATTTTACAAGGGGCAGCTGAGATTGTTTGCTGTTCCTGCGTGGCTGTGTGTGTGTTACACTCAGAAATTGCCTTTAAGGCCATTTGTGGAACTACAGATGAAGAGAGGTTGCAATATGCAGCCACATCTCTGTCAAGGGAGAGGAGGGGTCAGTTTCCCCATGCATGCTGTTTTCCACCTTCACCTTAACAGACCACTTTTCTTTTGGGACAAAATGTAATATTCCCCCAAATGTCATCTTTCCATGTGGAAATTGCATAAAAGTTTTAAACATGCCTTTTATGTTCACATAAAGCTTTTTAGCACTTTCCAAGAATGGATTGCACGAAAGCAAAGAAGATTATGATGATTGTGCAAATAAGTCGTCATCATCTAGTAGTAATCTTGCTCATGTTCACATTAATTTAGCTTAAGGCTGGAGGCAGTCTTGAGATTACATAACATGACGGGTGCCATATTTGTTTACAGAACTTGGAAATGCCTAAATTTCTGGATAGTTTGAAGTTTTAGAAAGATTACCAAGACAGAATCTGCACTTTATAGAGGCTACAGTCCAGAATGAGATGGTCTATGAGCTGGCAAAGCTGTGATTTCTAGCTTAAAACAG